TACTAGGTTGGAGGCCATCGCTACTAGGTTGGAGGCCATCGCTACTAGGTTGGAGGCCATCGCTACTAGGTTGGAGGCCATCGCTACTAGGTTGGAGGCCATCGCTACTAGGTTGCAGGCCATCGCTACTAGGTTGGAGGCCATCGCTATCAATAGGTTGGAGGCCGTCGCTACCAGGTTGGAGGCCATCGCTATTAACAGGTTGGAGGCCATCGCTACTAGGTTGGAGGCCATCGCTACTAGGTTGGAGGCCATCGCTATTTAAAGGTTGGAGGCCATCGCTTTTAAACGCTTGGAGGCCATCGCTACTAGGTTGGAGGCCATCGCTACTGGGTTGGACGCCATCGCTTTTTATAGCTTGGAGGCCGTCGCTACTAGGTGGGAGGCCATCGCTACTGGGTTGGACGCCATCGCTTTTTAAAGCTTGGAGGCCGTCGCTACTAGGTGGGAGGCCATCGCTGCTACAATATGCTACAATGCTGTTTCTTCATGTGTTTCTTTCTGCCCTGTGTGTCTCGAGTCTAGGCCCCAAAAGGCGCTGGGGACGCGTGGCGGCGGGAACGGCCGACGAGAAGAAGGCTGCTGGCTATTTCACTTCCGGCTCAGGCCATGCGCGGGTGAAGCGGGGTGGGATCAAAACAATGCTGCTTGAAGATGTCTTGCATGCCAGGCGTCTCACAACCCAGAAGCCACACGAATGCAGTTGAGAAGCTGCCAGTGTGCAACGCCCAGGCTGCAGAAAGTCGGAGTAGCTTGGGTTTGTGCCTTCGTACTCCGGCTTGCCAGGCGAAGACTAACGTGATTTTTGACATGGAGACTGGAGATCCAGACGATGTGTTGACACTGCTGCTGCTGGCATCGCATCCAAACGTCAACTTGCGGGCTGACGCTTGACTTTGCTTGAAAGGAGGATTCGATGTGAGTTTTTGAACACTGCGTATTCTCAGAAAAACCATCTAAGGTGACGATCACACCAGGATCAATGGAGCAGGTTGCCTTGGTTTTGTGGATGCTCAAAGAAATTCAATTGCCAGAAGTTCGTGTTGGTGCGCAAGAATGGCCGAAGAATGCAGAGAAGAAGTGCGTGCGCGGCAAATTCTATGATAGCTTTGGCAGAATTCCAGAACACCTTGTAGAAGGCCCGCCTTGCCCGCCTTGCTGCACAGAGGATTTTGGAAAACCATCTCGCTCGCAGGCATTGAATCTGCTGAGCAAGTGTTGCTGGAGTCCTGTGACCAAGACACAACCCTCTTGACTGGAGGCCCAGCTGGGGTTCGTCTAGCCGCTTAGCCAACTTGAAAAAACTAAACTGACAGGCTTCACCGAGCAGCGACGTTTGTGGGGGGACTGCGCGTATCCGCAGGCTCTTTGCGCAGCAAAATCCGACGATTAGAACTTCTTCTTACGCCTGCGCATACACACCCCCACACAGGTGTGCGTATGAGGGTCTGATGCAAAAAGCCTGGCAACCTCAGCTTCAGGCACACGAACGCACACGCACTCCGCACACGCACTCGCGCACACGCACTCACGCACTCACGCACACGAGAGCGCACGAGCACGCGCGCCCGCCCGCCCGCCCGCACGCACGCAGTGGGCGAAGTTGGAGCCACCTTTGCGTCCGCGAACCCTGTAAACACAGATGGCTTTGGGTCAGAGGTACATTTGTCTCAAGCGTTTTCCACTTCAAAGTCTTGATGTTTCAAGAAGCCATACAAGCCCAGGTGGTGCTAGAAATGTCGGCCGCAAACCGACCTTTTGAACATCACCAGGACGTATGTATTTATTTGACAAAATGTCAAAAGCACAGGAAAATGATCGAACATGGCTACTGTAAAGCCTTATCTCTAGACAAGAAAGTATGCTAAGGGGAGAGGAAGTTTTGAGATAGCGGTTGTGTCGAGCACCATTGGCATCACCAGAGTACGAGCAGCATTGTTCATAAACTACATACATTTAGCAAAAAACACTGTGATTTACAGTGTTTTGCGCCTAGTCAACACAAAGGATTTGCATCTTTAATGCTGCGACCCTTTCTCATGCTAATGATGCTTGACCAAAATTTGTCCTCAAAATTTGTATCCATTTTCCGCGCTTTACTTTCTAGAGGTTTTGAAGCTATAGGCTTTACAGTGGCCATTTTTGATCGTTTTCCCCCTGTTTTTGACGTTTTTGACGAAGCCACATGAGCCCTGGTGACGCTAGAAATACGGGTCGGCGGGCATGGAAATGCGTCTCCATATAGCAAAGCTAGCCTTGATACCCCGACCGGATCGGCGTCGCCGGATGGAATGGGCTGATGCCCGACCGCTGTTGGTTGGACTGAGTTTTTGCAACCTTTGCTGTTGTGTGGCCACGCTGACCCTGGAGGTTTCAACGAAGCTGGGAGCGACCGCTGGCAGTGTCTAATAAGTAGCCCACATAGAAGCAGTAGTCAGTAGCCTAGGATGAACCCCAGCTACCAGCAAAAAGCAGCCTACGGCCTGTCTGGCATGGGAGGCCACGCCAAAACCTCAGTCCCGCCACAGCGAAACACCCTGGCCCTGCACAGAGGAAAGTTCAAACAGTGGCATATCCCCGTGCATCGCTCTAGTGCATTGGGACTAGTTGTATATCAGCACCACTGCTGCTGCTGGCTGCTGCTGCTGCTGCGACGACGTCGACGCCGACGACTACTGAATGCGCCGGCAACATTTTGTACGTCTATGTTTGTTTTCGACAATGTGCTGTGCAATTTTTGTTTCATGTGGCTTTTGTGTTTGTGGCAATGTTTTCCGAGTTCTTTTGTGTATGCTCGCCTGCCAAGAGCCGGGAGGCCCATTGCACAACTTGGGCTGTGTGCTGGGGGTGCCGGGCTTCACCCTAGGTCGCTGGGTTGCGCAGGGGGGCTTCGCTGGTGAAGGGGTGGTTCCTTCAGAACTGCAATTGGAGAGACTTGGCAAGGAAATCGCAAGAAGGAGAGACCAAGCCGAAGAAAGCGGCAAGAAGAAGATCGAGGTAGAGCAGAGGAAAGGAGAGCTAAATACATTTTTAGATTCAGCTTTCCCGCCCCTTCCGACCGCACCCGTATAACTTAGCAGGATAATTTCTCAGGGGTGGTCTCTAAGTTCGCTGGGCCTGAACCACAGCGTGGATGACACAGCCCCAAGAGTTCGTGGCCTAGCCGCCTAGCTTAGCCCGAAGACGATTCACGACTATCCTGAGAGGCCGGAATCTTCATGTCAGCCAGTTCTTATTTGATTGTCGCAAGGGCCTCCGGCTGCCACCCACACCCCCAAGCAAACCTGAGCAAAGACAATGCTGTGTCTGAGGAAGTTTGCTGGCAAGCGCACTTGCCAAACATGGAATTTCAATGGTGGGGAACTTATGGTTTTTGACTGTAACAGTTTCAAAGGCTGATGCTGGCTATTCACAGAACAAAAATCCTGCTTCATGCCTGTGAGGAAACATATCTGCAGCTGAAGCTGCCCTTGAGAGCACTTGCATTCTGCGAAAAGTCTTAGTTTCCAAAAATGTTTGCCATCGTGTACTTTGGCCGCCTTCCAGAAAGTGGAGTAGTTACATCAAGCTGCGTAAACCGCTTAGCGGAGTTGTACCCCGCTACGCTCATTGTACACTCCCATACTTTTGTGGGATGATACGGGTGTCAATTTGTGCATTAGGGTTTTGGTTCTTGAGTTGTTGTTTAATCCTGTGCTGTACTGAGGCAGTCTATGACAACCGCTTCCACCTGGATTTTGTGCAAGCTTTGGAGCAGTCAGAAAGGATTGCCGCACAGACCACACGGGCTGTAGCACTGAAGTTGCCGCTTGGCCACTCTCACTGCCTCCGCATCCCAAATGAAGAACTGAAGAGCCAGAAAGGCTTGGAACTTCAGCATGCCTCAGGGTACCGTGTGAGGTTTCCTCATTGAGTATGAAAACACCTTTCCCGAGGCTATGCTCAGCCATGCAGGCTTACCGGCGAGGTGAAGGCAAGAAGCTCCACGATCCACTGGCCATGGCGGCGGTCGTGGATGAAACTGTTTGTAGTTTCCGAGAGGTCAGGGTGATCCGTGACAAGCAAGGCTGGGGTTCTGTGCCGGACACAGGTACAAACACATGGATTAGCATCGACTACGATGATGAACGGTTCAGACAGATTCTCCTCGGCAGTGGTCCGATGCATGATGTGGCTGCTTGAGGATATGTACAGAGCTGCGTGACGTTGGACAGCGATTTCATGGCCTTTTGTAGAGTGCTTGTTTGTACAGAAGCTGTCTCAATTGAAAATGGCTGCGGGAAAGTGTAATCGAGGGCGGGGATAGGTGGTGGCAGGCAGGTAGGAGGCTAGAGTTAGAGTAAGCCAGTGAGCTAGCAGCAAAGAGTCCGAGCGAAATCGAGATTCTTGATTGCTTTTCCATGCTTTTCCCAGTTTTCAAGGAGGGAGAAGAAGAGGGCAGCGACTTCGCCCCTTTGGCACGGACATCATGTTTTCGTGGCGGATGGTGAGTTGTATGCTGTTTTGGGTCATTCCGAGGAAGATGAGGAGGCAAGTCCATTCTCTACAATGAAGAGTGCACGGGGGAAGGAGGAGTCGAAGGAGAAGGCCTCGCACAATAACTCTTTTGGACATAAGGCTTCGATTTTGCAACCTTGTGAAGTTTCCATGGGCAGCTCAGCTTGGAATACATGCCACTACATTGGGACATGCCGACAGCCTTTCCAGGGGTGCTGTGCATGGCTTCGTGGAAGGGGTGCCAGTGCTGGTGCCGGTCACTGGCTGGGAGATCATGCACGTGTGCACATACATTTGTATTTTACACACACGCACATATATATATATATATAGTATGTATATATATATACATACAATATATGCATGTAAAGGCGCAGTTTGGACATTAAGTGGCATGCTGGCAACCTGTGCATCTTCGCCTCAGCTGCTGCACGGAGATCAGCTTGTGATATCGCGGCCTGAATCAAGGTCAGAATGTGAGCCGTGCTGTGTCAACCGCCACCATCAAGGACTTGCAGAGCTACAATAGTGTTCTTGAAATTGCAGAGCCAACATGGGATGGCACTATCAATGGGTGTTGAGGATGGTGAACATTAGGCTCTTCCTTTTTCTCTTTTTGGGCCGGTAAATTGGCTTTCTTGCAAGGATCGCTCCTTGACCAAAAAGAGCCTGCCTGAGAATACAACGGATCGTGTTCCAGCTGCACCAAGATTAGGGTAAGGTACCACAGAATCCACGACCAATTTCGGGGATTTTTTGTTCAGGAATCAAATTTGGATTGTCTATTGCACACAATTTCAGGCACGCCGGGAAACAACGCATCATTGTCCACGACATCAATGGTGGTGCCAATGACATTTGCCGAATCTTGGCATTTGCCGAATCAATGACGACTTAAACTTCTCAGACTCAAAGATTATTGCATGAGCATTGCGCTGCAAGGACATGTTTAGATTCAACGCGCAAGTCATGGGCTTCGGGGCTGGCGGCTGGCAGCTTGTTTGAAATCTTGGTGTTCGGAGTCAACAGTGCCAGACGGCGAACTCTAGCCCGCAAAATCCGCCTTTAATACCAGTGTGCTCGCTGAGGATGGAGCAGATTTTAAACTCCTTTGGCGACATTGTCACGAATGCCTCGGACTCCCTGCGACTGCACGAGGAGTGCGATTTGTTGTCCCTTCGGTTGGACAAGGTGCCGCTCATAGTTTGCTCTCCAGATCAACATGTAACTTGCAGGGGTGGTTTTGTGCACTGGATGCTAGTGTGCTATCTAGAGGTGCTTGTGGTAGTCCTGCTGTTAGACCTGGGTAAATAGTCCGTCTCGAATGCAGAATTACTGTTTGATTCTGTCTTGAATGGTAGTGCCTCTGATCAAACACAATCCTTGACACCCAAGGTGTCCAAGGGGCAGGCGCTGGTCCAAGAGCGTTCCCATGAATTTGGTTGAATATGCACATCAAGGATTCTTAGCCTTTCCTTTGCTTGACTTCGATGATTCTATGCCCCGTTTCTGCTGGCTGGAAAGCTACTTAGGCCCCAAACCTTTCGCAATTCAAGTCCTGCATGCTGGCCTCGTTGCGATCCCTTCTTCCCAAGGCTGTGATCAGAGTTGGCATGAAAATCAAGGACTGTCTAGAACCTAGAGATTGAAGTCAGGAATGGGACACCCAGTACGAGGTCGCTTGGAATTGGCTTTGGGATAATGTGGCGCAGCTTCTGGCCCTTCGGTTGCAGGGTTGTGCAAGAGATGCCATGGCTGTTGGGCAAGACTTAGGTGAAGACTTTGGGAGCTTCTTATGCATGGGAGGCCAGATGCAACGACCAAGTTTGTCAACCTGGATGCAAAGCCTGCCTTTTTGCCAGGTTGCAGTGAACAGGTTTTTTGCTTCTTTGGTCGAAGATACTCGCGGCTTGTCTAGCACAGTGTTCTGATGGTTGGGGGTTGGCTTACTTTTCCTCATGATTCTGCTGTTTATGTTTCTTTTGACCTTCTGCTCTTCATCCCGTGCTCATCCTTACTATATTAAAACATCTTCTTGTTTCTGACACTGCGGGCGTCGTTCATCCTAGGCTACCAACTACGCGCGTCCATCTATGACCGTTGCCAATCTGCACTATTCACAGCATGCTTGGGACTTTGCCGACGGCATTCTGGAAAACTAAGCATACTATGCACCCAATAATTTCTTGTGCGGGGATGACTGAACTTACCAAGCAGCTTCTAGCAAGTGATTGCAAGGATTCTTTGACTCGACTCCCGCGGGCCAAGAGTACTTCAAACAGTCTGACACACGCTTGCATTTCATTGTGGAGAAGGCCTGATGAAGTGTCTTCACCTACGGACTGTAGGCCTTGACGTGATTGGCTGTTTGTTAAGATCCTCCTCTCGGAGGATGCTGCAGCGTGCTTTTTGCGTTTTTAGTGTCTGGCAATTCGCTGCAGGTATTCACTTTTTCCATGGAAATCTACGCTGAGCCATGGCAGGCCTCTTCCATTTACAGGAACAGCTGGTGCCACGGGGGTTGCAGTGGCAGGAGACATCGAGTGAAAGAAAGACGTGATAACAACTGTTGATTCTAAGTCCACACTGGACAGTTCCAGATGTTCTCACAGCTTACCAAACATGTTTCAATTTGCAGATGATTGATGATTTATCAGCGCTTGGACTTCGACATGTGGGCTATGGAGTGCCAACAGAAATGTTTGCGCCATTCGTCACGCCCTTAGACATCAGCAAGGGTCCGGAAGGGTCTGGAAGGGTCAAAGACCGATCAAAGATGCTACGTGACTCAACCCATCTATGAACCAAGAGCGCCAGCTGTGAGTTGATCGCTACTACAGGGGAGGCCATCGCTGTTAAGAAATAAAGACACAAAAAAAAGAAATTCGGAAGATGGACGTCAGGTCTGTGCGTTCGTTTCTTTGTTGTCCAAGAGCGCCACCTGGGAAGCTGGTTGAACCAAGGTCTGTGCATGTGTGGATGTTATACGCGGGGCAACGGCCACTTGGCAAATGCAAGGCGCATTATGTTTATGTACGAAAAGTTTTCCGCATGAGCTATATATTGCAAGTATAGTATGTATGTGTCCATATGTTACAAGCCTATGACATATGTGCACATCTCTACGCTATACATATTTGGTTGAGATGTTGGTAGGCAAGAGGTGATTTTCGTACCATTTATGGTCCCACACTTTTGGTACCAGTCTACCTCAGGATGACGCGGTCGCCGTGCTTGGCTTCAAATGGTCCTTGGGCATTGTTTCCAAGCAACTCGCACGGTGCCTATTCGTTGAACGCGTTCAAACGTCAATTCGTGCCTTTTTTTCCTTCAAGGTCAGGACTGTGGCAGAAGGCTCAACCATCGTGATGAAGGCCATTTTCCTGGAATGCTTTTTTTCGGCCCACAAACATGTGGGTTGCCCTGAGGCCGTGAACGCCAACTCCAAAAAGATGTTGCCACTTGGAAATGACATCCGCAAACGACAAGTGTTGACCACTAGGACACACCACTTACTGCAATGACATGATGATTCACATGCTGACATGCTCATAGCGTGTCCCACTCGAGCTTGGCTCGAACTTGAATAATTCAAAGTTACCTGTGCAGGTATGAAAATAGGAGAAACCATGCTTGAGATCGAACTTGAAGTCAACCTCCTCCCCCAAGATCGCGGCTCGCTCCCACGTCGGAGACAAATCATGCAAACAACATGATTAACAACTCTATAACACAATAAATAAATAAGCAACACACACACACATATATATATATAACACATATAACACTGTCCTGGTGGGGGTGTGTTCTCATGGGGAAAGAGTTGCGACTTGCAGACTTCGAGCTTGAAAACTGCTGAGATGACAAACCAGCATCCCAAATGGCACAGAGAACCAACAGTCTTTCAGATCCGTATGTTTGAAGAATGTTGAATTCCCGAACGTGAGAATTCAAACTTTGTTGGCACCCCGTGCTAGGCTAAGTGGAGCGAACACTTCCCTCCACACTAAGGAGGTTTGAGTGTGTATACTGTATGTAGATGCTTACCCCAGCCGGGATATCTCTTGAGTAAAGCACACCTATATGGTCTCCAAGAATTCTTTTGAAAGTTGTGTTTCTGCGGGGCTAGATTGTGGACCAGTTGAACATCAAGTACTACGGAAAGATACGGAAAAACGGGGTTCTGGAGGGCACAGGGCCTCCCCCGAAACAGACACACAGCACCGTAACAAGGGTATGTGCAGCAAGTGGTGCCGGAAGGCGCTTCAGCATGGTTAGCAAGCAGTTTGTATGGAACATATGGCAATAGCAAGGTTGTGCACCTCACTACCAGAAGCTTCCTGTACTAGTTGAACTTGTCAACCAAGTATAAGTAGCCCGCTGGAACTGGAACTAAACATTTAAAGCTGGAGCTCAAACCAGCAGTTCCCTCTGGGGCATGGTTTTGACATCAGCAGTAACCAGTACTACCCGTCGTGTTTGGCAGACTGAAGGAAAGCAACATGATATGTCATATACTGTGTTGACAGAACAGAAGCACATCCACATCATGATTTGAGTTTAGTATGCTTTTCAGTCTTGAATCAATAACAGTTGAAGGCAGCGAGCGATTAGTTGTGCTCCCCGTGGGCAGCGTTTCCAGTGGCTTCTGAAGGTGCAGGCGGGTGAGCAGAGAAGGATTTCACCTATATACGTTATGTCCCAACAAACCGACATTATATTGGTTTTGGAGAACTCGTCGAAGAATGCAGGTGGGTACGCAGTCAATATCTCCACTGTATTGGGCCATTCAAAGTGGCAACCTTGCTGCAGCAGAGGCCTGGGTGTCTTAGTCTTAGTTTCTATTATTCTATCGTTGGCTACAGGTTGGGCTTGACTTCCGACGATGATCTGTGACAGGCCATCATACAAGATTTGCTGGTCTTCCGGGCCGACCGTGAGAGATACTACTACGGTGCTTGTCTGACATTTCAATGACTCGAGCACCGTAGGTACCTGGTTGGTTCAAGTTGGTTCCAGTCGGTTCAGTGAAAATCCTGAGGCAATGATGCCCTTTTCGAGCGTCACCAGGACATCATCAACTGCTTGTGCCGCGAGGCAGCTTGCATGGACAACCTCAGCTCAGCCACAGTTGTTCAACCTTGGAAGGCTCCTATGCTCATACCGACCCTTCTGGATGGATTGATGTGGCGATCTGCCCGAACAGAAAAGGGCCTGCGTAGAGTGAACTATTATGCAACTCGGCAAGGTGCCGAGAGTTGGGCCACAAGGGTGTCGCCCCAGAGGAGTAGTAAGGCCTGGAGCCCCTAGTGCTTGTTCCTAGTAGCTTTTTCAGGAGCCCCTAGCAGCGTCCTTGCTCCTAGTAGTAAGGCCAGGAGCCCCTAGTAGCTTCTTGTTCCTAGTAAGGGCCAATTGAAGGTGCCCACTTCTAGGTCAAGAGTATTAAACCGCGTTCACGTCAGCAGGATAGACTCGCGCTGCAGAACTGAGAATGCCGGGCCAGAACCAGTTCAAAGTCCGGATCGGATAAGAATTCAAGAAGGGCAGATTGCTGTACCAGCTTGCTGTGTCCTTTTGGTTTCTTGACGTGGGTGCTTCCGAGGTCAAGCATCTCCTTGTCAACCAGGACAGCACACCCTCAGAGTTGTGTTTGCATTCGCTTGTGAAAATAGAGTAGGGCCGTCAAGCAAATTTTGGGATCCTCCTTGTTCTTATCTATATATATCTTATCGGGCTTTTTGATACACATTTTGTCGGCATCTTTTACAAAGCGCACACACAGCAAAGAGAGGGGCATGTTTCTTCTCATAAAGTTCAATCCTTTTTGATTTACGAAAGCCGGAGATGCTCTAGCCTCATCCCACAGGAGGGGGAGCCAGCAGAGTTCTTGCGTGAGATTTGTACCACGAAAGATCCGAAGATCATGGTTCATCCAGTTGTGGTGACAGTGTCTGACACATTGTTCCTTGACTGACTCCACCTCCAAAATTGTCTTTGCAAAGAAGTTGTGCTGCACTTGTGTGGCTGGGACAAAGCCAGTGCCTTTGGAATCCAAGGTGGAATGGTTTGGTGCGAAATCATTTTCTACTGTCACGGCTCTGGTTCTTGGTGAGTCTGGTCGTTTTTATGCTGAGCCAAGCAATTCTGCCGAAAGAGCCAGCTTTGGAGGGCATATTTAGCGTGCGAGTGGCCGTATTTTTTGGGCGCAGCCTCATGTATGCGGTAACAATGACCAGACTATTTTTGAGATGCTTGGCTGCATTTGCATTACACTGGGGGCCAAGGTTGAAAGTTCTGACGAACAGGCCATGCACGACCGCAATGGTGTGTGCTGAGGATGCATGTGGAAGAGTGGCAAGGACTGTCGCAAAGGCAAAGTCTTTTACATTTTCAGATGCTTTCCGATGCCGAAGTACTTGCACAATGCCATGGCACTTGGTAATTTGGTTCCTCGACGAGTGAAAGAGTCCCATGATGCTTCTCTAGAAAGTACTTTTAAAGGCCGCTCTGCCCCCTACCTAATAGCGATGGCCTCCAACCTAATAGCAATGGCTTCCCGCCTATATACTGCTATGGCGATGCCCTCCAACCTATTCAATAGCGATGGCCTCCAACCTAGCCTTTTTGGTTTTCAAGCTCGCAAGTTTGCGACTCATCCTAGGCTCTTGCAGTTTTGCTTATGCTGATGTGCGCCTACGAGCCGATGTACGTGTGCTTGATGTCTGATCCACAAGACTGGCCGACATATGATTGTGATGGTATTGAGGACACTGCCTATTCACTGTAGTGCATTTGCTTTAGTTTCTTTTCGTCCTTTACTTTGCATAGGCCAGGCGTGGCTTGCCTAAACTGACATCCGTTTCTGCCAGAGAGGGGGCAACCTTGCTTGTGGCTAGGATGTTCGATGGACGTATTCAGCTCTAGGGCTGCTTGCTATGGCAGTGCATTGGTTCTTGATGGTTGATCTTGCCGTCTTCTCAACCGGGCTATCGGCCTTCGTTCTGGTTTGTGCGCAAGCAGCCCGGTGTGAAAAACGACAGGCCGAACTACTCAACAGGGACTTTTCTTCACATCCAGCTAATGGTCAGTGGATTCAAGGTTCTGAGTGAGATTGGCCGCTTCCTCGTTGCACTGATTTTCCTCCTCCTCACGTTTGGAAGTGCGATCAGTGTGTTGGAGCATCCATACTTTGAAACTCGGCTAGGCAATATATTCAATATATATATATATGCACAGTATGTATGTTTTACTTCCTGCAAGATGCCGTGTTCTTGGCAGTTGCAGACTTTTTCAACGATGTGATATATATATATATATATCATTCGGTGTGGGCCAAGGAAATGCGTGACATCCCGCCACGTTGCTGCATATATAAGAGGTCTGTTGTTGTTGTTGTTGTTGATGAGGGGGGGTGGATATTGCACCACCTGAAGCACGCATGACTCTTTGATGCGGGGGCCTAGGAATACGGTGCTGTGTTTATTTTCGATCACCATTTTGCTTTATGAAGATGACTACCGACGCCTGGCCTGCATTGTGCTAGAGTCCTCTCAGGGAGTTGGGGTTCCAGTGTTGCTTTTTTGTTTTATGAGGAACCTTGATGGAGGAGCCAGCCTTGCTTACCGCAGTTCTGCTTTTTGCTCCCTGGACCCATTGTTGGAATGAAGATGAATTGGGGAACACAGTGCGCAAGTAACCAACCTGTGTGGGGGTAGATAGCTCAAAGTCAGGTTTTGGCATCCTCTATTTTATTGATGAACTTGCTAATTGCCCAGCTCAACAGCAGCTATGTGTACATCTACCAGGACTGATGCAGGGCGTGAGAATGTGCTTCTGAAACGGCAAGGGTACTATATACATTTAGATGACCATATGATGAAACCCAGCAGGTTGTGGGTTTGTGCAGTGGAGTTGCTCGTCAGGACATGGTGGGTTTTGCTCGGTTAAACCGAGCTCAGAAAATTGTGGAGGCAAAGATGTGGAGCAGAGAGGGGCCATGGCAGCCACGAGCAATGTGGAGTGAACTTCCATGACTTGGCAGGCCTTGGCGAACTTCAATCGCCAGCATTTTTCGCCTCTTGGACCTTCACATGCTTCTGAAATCATGAAGCCTGAAAGATAACAAACACAATGTAATACTATTTTACTATTTATACCTATTAAACAGGTCTTCTGTCTCTATAGCGAGAGACATGTCTTCACATTCTTCACTGAATTTGAGACTCTCAGTCCAAGACCCCAAGACCTGATGACTTTCAGCTGCCTCTAAGTTACAATCTATGCTGAGGACTTTCATAAACAGCATTGGTTTGGATCAGCCTTTGGAGTTCAACCAGGCTTTCAATTTGCATTGATTCAGTGTTGCGTCAAAAAACTGCAATCTTGTCGACAATTTTCGTACCAAGTCATGCATTCTTACTTGCATGGCTGCATATGCCTGCTACAAAGTTTGGACCAAATGGAAATGATTTATATATGCAACCTCAAGCCCCCTTGATGAAGCAGTTGCACTTGTTATGGTTTGCCACCGAGCCCTCGGTTGAGGGCGATGTTGGAGTGGCGGGCGGCTTGCAGCTTACTGAGCCAGCAAGCGAACACGTTGTCCTGAAGGACCGCGAGTTTCTCAGGAACCTTTTGGTTCCTGGTAGTTTGGGAATGGATGAAATGAGACTCGTTAGAGAGAAAGTAGCCTTCAACAGATTCTCTTCAATAAGGCCACCCTTTAAGATAGGCCTCATTACAGAGGCCCTTCCTTTTTCCTTTTTGTTTAAATTACTGCAGCGCGGCCAACTAGAAATTCGCATTCATCATAGTGCCTAGTGCCCTCACTTGGAGCTGGAGTCCTCCATCCAGGACTCCATCCTGCGCTTTGGTGGTTCCTGCTCCATGGAGCTCGAGTGGCCCGAAGAATCCAAGAGTCGTCATTGGCCCAAGAGTTTCGCCAAACTTGAGTCTTCCTTGCCTTTAACTTTACCCCTGAACTGAATGAAGACACGCAAACAGCAGCCTTAGCCTTCGCCCTAGGTGAAGACAAGGACCAAATATCAAAAGTGGAATCTTTGGCAAAGAAGGTCTTGCGCAAAGTCACTCAGGACGACTGGTGAGTGTGGTGTAGCTCGTTTGACGTGCTTGTTTGGCTGTTGGCTTTTTGTCGCATCAGGATTGCAAGCAAAAGCGCCGCGGGTCCAGCCTTGGAGTAAAGGAAGGCTCAATTTTCTCATTTTCTCGCTCTTCGAACCTTTTCAGCGAGAAAAATGCTGCAACTGACCACTGTACATAAGCGTTGCAGACTCATGACATTGCAGGCAGCAGCGGGTCACACAATGAGGGTTCGAGCGCGTAAAGCTCTCAGAGCCCGTGCGTAGACGTGTTGATAAATTTTGCAGTTCTGATTCTGGCTTTGCAGGTCACATGTGGATGACTGAGGGCATCTTAATTAGGCAGGCCGTTACCTCTTGCGGAAGTGTGTTCATTGCTGCATTTTTGCTTGTGGCAGGCTTCAGTATGTCTTCATTGTTTCACTGTCAGCGTCCCAAGTTGCCACCCGGCCAAGTCAGTGCAGAGAAGATCCTAGGTAGCTTTGCAAAATGCCGTTCCGGAGCTTTGCCGTCTTGCTGTGGGGTGAAGCTTTGTGGCAGTGCTGTGAGCGTGTGTGTTTTTCAGTCGGAACTTTTGTTGTTTTGATGTATTTTGGCCCGCCCAGCAGGTTCGACACACATCGCAAAGTGATGGTATCGGCATTTCGTTCGCCACTGCAGACCGGCAGTGTGCGATGGAATCAGATTGCCCACAGAGAGTCTGATTGGGCTGCCCATGCAGGGTGCGAAGGAAGGAGCCAAGTCTCAAGCATTACAGTAACCCTGCATGGAATGCCCATAGGCTTCATGCATGAAAGTGGTGACATATGGCCCTATTGGAACTCGCTCCAGGAAAACAGTGATGTTTTAGATAGTCTTCATGCTGAAGCGCCACGGCCTGCAAGTAGCCAGGCGTACCTACTTAAGCCGCAATCATGGCTTTCATGGCCGGGTTGCGGCTTCAGTTGCATGGTAATGTCATAGTTGAAAAAGACGCGCTCGAATTGCAGCCAGTTGGTGGGGCAGGAGTAGACAGTCAAGTTCCCGCAAGTGCGTCAAAGGATCTCAAAGAGCCTTCTCCGATATTGACCAAGGCTAGGGCATCCGTTCCAGCAGCTTCAAGCTCGCTTCGCCGCTGATCTCAGTACTGGTCGAAGAGTCTTGCAATGCTAGCAGCAATGCCCAAAGCCGACCGCAAAAACTAGGGAAGACTCAGGGAAGACGGATAGAGTGCATGAGTCAAAAGAAGAATGTCTTGCAGGGCTTTGATTTCACATCCAAATGGCACTACATGGCCTGCATGGATCGCATATTTCCACCACTCCTGTCTCTGAGGTGCAATTGATGGAGCGTGTCCAGCACGGAGGTTTGGAGCAAATGCTGTCCGCCGTTGCATGCTTGAGTTGCCTCCGGGTGCATTTTCCGTTGACTTCCAGCAAGCCAGGCACGTAACACGGCCTCACCTCTTTAACGGCTCATGGATGCGAGATGTCGCCTCCACAGGTGGAGACAAGCATGACCCCTCTGGTGAGACTCATTTATCCAAGAGATGTGCAGCGTTTTACTGCCCGAGGTTGCAACTCATCAGCAGCTCCTCGGTCATTTGCTGAGCATCAGACATCCTGACCGTGCACTTCTTTTCTCTATTGGACGTGCGGGCTTCTCAGGCCAGGCCTTGAAGTATGTCCCTGGTCCAGAGGTGTGCCTCCGAATCTTCAACTTGCATCTACCTCAGATGTCGCCTTTGTCGCCCTTGGCGCCATGCCCTCTCCATCGGTGGGTCATTCCACATAACATGGTTGATCGAGGCTGCATCCTCCCAAAACCTTTCCCAGCACGCAAGGTGACGAGTGCCACAAGCTGAACCATTGCTTAGCACAAAAAGCGCAGCTTGTTTACTTGAAGACCGCAGAACAGTTCTCAGCTTCAGAACGTAGCTCAACGCCGATGGTCGAGGTGCCATTATGTCCTATTACGATGGTGGGCATAAGCAAGCTTGGTCAGGCAACGGGCATTCAAATGAGGGATTTTACATGCGATGTGTGCAGAACACAAAGGCCCCATTAACCCTTGTGAATCATCAGCATAGTATTGTCAACATCCAAATTGGATCGGGGATTGAACACGTTGTGGTAAAGCTGTCGAGTCTTTGGCGATCATTGATTTGCTTTGTCACTCCATGCGCCTGACAAACAGCCTGTGAGGTTGGCATATTGCATTCTCCCAGTTCCTTGCAGTGTTGCCAGATAAGCTAGCCGCCGCCAATCCACCCAACTCACCCCGCCAGCACCGACCACAATGCATATCCCTCCTCCGAGGAGCGGAAGAGTTTCACCTTGGACCAGAGGACACAGTTGCTGAAGGTGAAGCTGTCCAACATCAAATGCCACTTTTGCGATGCTGCCAGGATGAGGGTATTGCCTACGGACGTCGGGCAAGATGCTCAGGGTACATGGTTGCAATATGTGAGACAAGTGGTGGTGGTGATGCTGTAGGGAGATGACAGTTGAGGTGGAGCTTTTGAAGGCGATACGAGAGCAGCGTCAACAGCTGGACATGAAGGATGAGCAACTGGAGGCAATTTGGCTGCTTGCAAACTATTCTGGAGCTTGATTTGTTGGCGAGTGCACTGAAATGTACCGCAATGTCTGCCACACCACAGAAATCATCAGAAATCAGTTGTTTTACTTTTGATTCCCTGTCCCCGTGGAAGCAGGAGCACAAGCGCAAGTTGGAGCACTTCCAAGAAGAGTTGGCCAGATGTTTAGACCCAGACGAGGCAAGGCGAGACACAAGCATTTTCACATCCAACAGTGCTGTAATTTGGGAAGCCCGTGTGGACTTGTGGCATTCAATCCTTTTTGTGCTTTGATTTTCCTCGGTTCCTGCGGAGGCCAAAATCCTACGTAGCCGCCTCGCTCATGCCAACGCGATGCCCTTACAGCTGGCTAGAGTTCCAAAAACGCGTGGTATCAGAATGCATGATGTAGGGCAATGTAGGGCAATTCGATCTGCTTAGGCACAAATCACTGAACAAGCCGAAGAGATTGATGATAAACGTTCGCAGGCAGGCTCTTTCCTTCTGTCTGATTTGGAAGACCACTAAATTGTAGCTTCTTCGCCCCTTGTTTGGCAAAGGTTCGGGTGCTTGAAGGTCAGGTGTCAGTCTTAAGCTCTCACCTGAAGCAAGAGTCTTTTCCTCAACGAGTTTACGATGCTTGGGACTTTCTGATCTCGTTGCCGTGGTGCCATCACGTGGGATAATGTGCCTTCAAGTGCTGAGGGCAGAGAAGAACACTCAGCTGATTGCCGAGCAGTGTGCACTTCGGCGACAGCTGGAGGCCGCAAATGTCCAGGAATAGGAAGACAGCTTTGAATAGCATGACGGAGCTGTGTGAATCTCTGGGAAGCCCCGTGTTGAGGCAGAGTACGCGCTTCGAGGCGAACAGAAATCCTGGCAGGCCGAGGGATCTGAAGGGATCCCAAGGGATCCCAAGGGCTGGTTGGACACTTGGCCATTCTTGGAGTAACTCGAGAGTCTGGAGCTTTTCCTGCTGCATGCGGAAGTGGACCTTAGTGCACCTTTGCATGGCAGGATTGCTTCGAGCAAGAGCAACAAAAGTTGCAAGCTTAAAGCTCTAAGAGACGAGATGGGAGAGAGTGATAGAGTCTGTAGGTCTATGGGGGGTGTCGACTGCCCATGGCACAGAAGCCAGAGTACTACAAATAGCTACACTAAGGGCAGCAACCCTTCAGCTGCGGCTGGAGGCGCAAGTGAAGGAGGCACCCCTTCATGGATTAATGTTGGTCGAGTAGGATTACTGTATATATATATATCACGAAACCTGAGTTCTCCAAAGTTTAGCCTCAGCATGTATGACTTTAGGGAGTGAGCCCTTCGATTAAGTTCGATTGCATTTTTGACTCCGGTCCTCACCTCTAGGTTGCATCTCTTTGATCTTCACCACTGGATTGCAGAGTGTCATTTTCATGGTGTCAGCTACTGCTTTGGATGCATCACGTTATTTGAAGGAGTTGTCTGCACGTGAATAGACAATGAATGAAGATGAATGAAGACTGAAGGAGTAGTTTGCAGGGGCATGCGGACGATCATGGCTGCAGATGTGCGACAAAGTTGGGTTGTTGTCTCTCCCTACGCCTATGCCTATGCCCCTTGACTGCCATGGTGTCTTCAGTCTTCAGTGCAGTGCTTTAGAAGGCTGGGTGACAGGGTAAGGGATGCCTGTGGCTGAACCTTGGTTGCTCGGTCTTGAGCAGCGGATGGGGCACAACAGGAGTCTTAGGAACTCAATTTGCGGTGTTTGGGACTATGAGAGGTCAGGATAGGTTCAGTAACCTGGTGCTTTGTCGGCAATGTTCGTGCTGTACACGGTATGGCCTAAAGACTTGATTGCCACTGGTCCACTTCATAGATTCGGTGCGAAGATGAATGGACTTTTGGAGATTCTTTGGTTCACTTTGAGTTTGTTGAGGCGCCTGCAGTGGAACTCGGCTTCTCCCTAACAGTATAATGGATGTTTGTGGGCCAATGGCACCGATCGCCAGGCAGAAGATTCTGTTGGTGGGGTGAAGCAGTCGGCAACTTGGGTGTATATAAGTCAAACGGTATGAACTGTGTGTGCAACTGGACAACATCGTTGGAGTGTTTGCTTTTGGCAAGGGGCTCGTGATAGCTTTGGGGAATCCACTTTGAGGAACATCCAAATCATTAAAAACTCAGGCCTTGGACAGGTTCACCCAGGGCTGCGCTTTCACCCAGGTCCTAGGAACCTGGCGCGGGTCATGTGGAAGAAGAGTGGCATGGCAGGGTCAGAGAGACTTGAGCCATGGACCATTGCACGGTTGCAGTTCTATACATACAAGAAAGGGAAGGAACATACCTGGACCTGAGCAGGTGTCAATTGTAGGAGTGGTGATACAAAGGCATGCAAGTACATTCAGTACAATATGACCGCTTACCAGCATGTTTGAATATGCTTGGCAGGGAATGCAAAGATGGACAAACCAGTCTCCTGGTCGATTCACTGAAGGTCATGATCGAAGCCATGCTGAGGGTGGTTCGAGCGAAGCCCGTGGGGATTTCCTTTTGCCTATCCCGATGTCCTATCTATGGTGCAGACCAAATCAGAAAAGTTGCAGCTGTCGAAGAGAAGGACTCGTGAAGAGATAAGGGGGGGCAAAAGATCGTAGATTGAGCTCAAGACATTAGCTGGGATTTCTGGATTGCAGGTGGGATGGAAACTCGAGGATCCAACAAAACACATGTTTACACTCCAGTTTGTTGGCATCGGCGCAGAGAAGGGCAGAGCGGAGCCCGTTTTTTCTCGTGCCCTGCCAGCCCATCAGCTTTACATGCGTGTGCAAAATTCAAAACGGCCGTCGGGTCAGTGGTCTCAGAGTGCGAATTGACACTTTGGATGTTTGGATGGTCATTGGGAGATTGCGTTGAGCGGAAGGCAAGGGCAACTGGAGCAGCAAGGCAAACTAATTGGCACAGTGCCAGGCAGCACAGAAGCAATTGGCCGCTGAGACTGCCAAGCAGAAACTACAGGCCAACGTCACAAACTGCAAGTTGCAATTTCCTTGAGTTGCCAACGGGTGTGGTGTAATATTTCTTCCCATGCCACTATGCATCACTATGTCTAAGAGGTCCTGCGTAGGGCCTGAACCTAATCCCGCAAAATGCCAAACACTTCCTCATTTTCGCTGTCTCGCGGGACGTTTCGGCAGGGGCAGGTGCAGGAGCTTCAGGTGGGTCAGAGTCAAACACCGCATCATGGCAAGAAACCTTCCACAGTGAGGATTTTGGACCAAAACAATTACATTAATTGTATGGGTCTATATAATTCAAACAGCTCAGTTTGAGCCAATGGGCTGGCTGGGACAGCTTCATGGTTTCATGGCTTTATGTTGATTCATGCCAACTAGTATTTTCATCTTTTGATGTCATCAGGAACTGGCCAAGATTGGCCAGGAGGCCATGGACTTTAAAGCGAAGGCTGAGAAACTGGCGGCTGAACTTCAAGCTCGAGTCCATGTTTTCAGAAGTGCTTCAAGACGATGTTTATAGACTTTAATTACAATTTGTGTTGGGGCCTCAGGTTGCCCATACCATGCAAAGTCGTCTTCAGGGTGAGCCAGGGACTTAGCTGCCATTGGCCTGAAGTTTCAGCTGTTTCTTGCAGTAGTCCAAGGAAATCTGTGCTTGATATGTCGTTACTGAGTGGGCAGGCTTGATGCAGTGAAGCAGCAAAGTGGCAGCCTACAAGCGGCGTTGGATGAGGCAGAAGCATTTGCAAGCCTTCGCCGGGCGGGCTTGCCGGGGACGCAGGCGAATCGCCAATCTGCGAAGTTGAGTGTTGCGGAGCACAAGGCTGCAACTGCCGAACAGCAGGCCACCACTGGATGCAACTTACAAGTTGACAAGCTTTCAGGATGTTCAACCTCACAGCACACCATCATTGGAACTCTTGGATCAAGCACCCCTCCCAGCTGGATCTTCCCAGAACTAGGTTCAGCAGCTGGGATCAAGACTGCAAATTGCTGAGAAGAAGGCTGCAGAGGCGATAATGTGTGTTTCCATCTGGAATCTTGAACCACGAGTTCAGCTTGCCAAACCCTGAGACTTACACAGACTTACCTGGCTTTCCTTGTCAGGTGCCAGTGCTCGAGAGGCAACTGCAGGAGAAACAACAAGAGATGGAGAGTCAGGCCAGGGGCTACGGCTACTGTAGATCGAAAGACTCAACTACATACATACATGTGGCACAACGTGGCGGGTTTCTTGGTATTGCAGTTTGGAGGACCAGAAATGGCGCAAGCTATACTCCAGCTATCCGCTTGTGGGCCAGCTCTTGCCGCTAGACTTTGGCATGGTTTCCGTAAGAAAATGAGCTCAAGATAGCAAAACGAGAGAGAGAGAGAGAGAGTGTGATGTAGAGTGCATGATTTGGTGAAGTTTGGGCAAATGTTTGTGTGGTCTCACGTGGGAGGAGGCTTGATGTGATGATGCGATCTGAGGTTTCCAAACCAGTCCCAGCAAGCGGTTGTGGCCCCTCAAGGCAGCAAAAAGAGTGAGAGTGTTTAATGCCAATTTGGGGCGACTTGCGCACTATTCATGGGCTGCATGTCGAGGATATGTTGTTGTAATGTTGCATGGTGGCTGTGATCCACGGCGCGGGGAGGGAAGGTCAAGAAACTTACGACCGGAGCTGAGAAGCTGTGAAAGGTTGCGAGAAGCTGATCCCCGTTTGCGAGACTCTTTGTTCTGCTGCCAACAGCGCCACAGCGCCACCAGCCCACTCGCAGCGCCACACGCCACCACGCTATTCGCACTCGCACTGGGACTTCCCGTTCAAGATCTAAGATTTCAGAAGAAAGCTCTTCGATCCAGGTAGATTTTAGTCGCAAACAATACAGTTGCAGTGACTCCAGGTTCCAGATTCCAGATTCAAATTATTGGTGGTCGAAGTTTTTCTATCATGCACATGTATGTGTATGCATACAAGTGTTTTGTGCCACCACAAGCTTTGGCTCCGCATGCAAACGCGGCTTCCACACAAACCTTTTCCACAATAATTACTGTAGTAGAAATGACGCCAGCACTAGCAAGTGCAATGGAAAAGTATGTGGGTGGGTGGGAGGTACCACAGGTGTACCACAGGTGTACAATGACTCTGAGTGTGGATGGAAGAAATCGTGCACCAGCAACTGTGTAGACCACCAATAAAGAAACAAGTCCTAACCTGCACCCCCATATCAATGTTGTGCTGATGGATGCTTGCGGTGGTGCAGGGTTTGTTCCATTCAGATTGTTTTTGTTGAGCATGGTTTGAACCCTGCAATGTTAAAGACGGAGCATGTGGGTTTGTAGTGTAGTATTATTTCCTAAAGGTGGTGCAGTATGCACATATACCTATATATCATATCGCATATATACACGCATACACACATACATTACACAGATACATTCATACATACACACATGCATACACACACACATAAACATCAGATTGCCAAAATTGCAGGGGCACGCACCTGTTGCAATTTGGGCGATCCCGATTCCAGGTGCAGAAGATGCTTTACTCTCAGTGATTTTGTATGGAACCCTTTGCCGGCCAACTTTGGTTTGTGTGCATTGCATTCATTTGACTTAATTTGTCGATGCAGTGTGGATTCTGCTTTCAAGGTGCGTTCTAAAGAATGCCGAGGTACCAGCTGCTTCAAAGGCACCTGCAGTCAGTCAGGACATGCGGAATCAGTCAATTAGTCAGCTTATCGTGTCAGAGCAGAAGCAGCGGCTCTCCAGAGTTTCGGATTCAGGGCTGCGCAGCTACACTTCCATCAATAAGATTCAAGGATATTCCTTTAGAACTCACATGTCACAAGCCTGACCACATGGAACTTGCAATTCTTCAGTTCTTTACTAGTTCTTTACTACAGTAATAATTTTTTTTTTTGGGACCTTTTTGCTTGAGCAGGCGTTTTAAGCCCACATTTTGTGTCCTAAAGTGCAAGTTGTTTTTTTGTAGAACTTCAACTTCGGAATCATGTGGACTCGCTCTCGCTTGTGCCAGTTTGGTGGTGGATATGGGGTGTTCCCAAGACCTCCCTGGAGCAGCTTGACATCCAACAGCAGAGTGTCGAGCAATTCCATCCGGAGACAGAGATTCTGGACCAAAGCTAGAATCCAAAAGGCAGTGTCATTTTCAGGAGTTGCAATATCAACATGGGCACGACACTTCGCATGCAGCCGGATGGCGAAAACAAGAGATTCCAAGCAGAGCCGATCACAATCAAACAGTTTGCAAGTCTCAGCATGTCACAGGAGCTTTGAGGGTACAGTTTTTCGATGTACTCACCGATCTGAAGCTTTGGGGGGCTTGGACGCCCACTTTAGCGTATATGTCCCAGATGCTCCTCAAATGCACATGACCCTGCCGTACCCAAAGAAATGCGATGATTTTCCGGTTCTACTGTTTCTCTCTGACATGGGATGCAGTGATCTCGACGTTCTGCAACAAGGAAATGTGCTTGAGCATTGCTCTTCATGCGGTTTGATCCTGGTGTCAGCAGACACATCTCCACGTGGTCTTGCAGATTCAGATGGCCACAAGCATGGTGTTGGTATTGGAGCCAGCCACTATGTGGATGCTACTGAGGCACCATGGAATCAGCACTACAGGATGCGAGACTACCTTGAAAACGAGCTGCTGGAGATCGTGCACGCACATTTTCCAACGTGCGGATCAGAAGGGGTTTCAGTCATGGGGCATGGTATGGGCGGCATGGGGGCTTTGTCTTTGGCTCTTCGAAGTCCATCCGCCTTTCGTTCTGTCTCGGCCATGGCTCCCACTTCGCACCCCACCACAACCGAAATCACTCGAACAGCCTTCACGACATACCTTGGCAAAGATGAGAAGAACTGGACAACCTATGATCCTGTTTTGCTGATGCTAAACTATGAGAGCCGACGAGCTCCACCTCCAATTCTGCTGGATGTGGGCTTTGAAGAGACGACAAGCTATGTTGAAGATGTAGTCAAGCCCTTTGATTTTGTGAATGCTTGCCACACCAAGCGCGTCCCAGTTGACTTCAGATTGAGAGCTGGGTTTGATCACAGTTTCTTTTTTGTGGCATCTGTCATGGAGGAACATGTTGACTTTCACTCAAAACACTTGGATGACCTGTAGAGTCCAAAAAGGGCTTAAAGTCTGTAAGTAGTGAAAAAGGTGAAACGCAGCCTGCAGATGCCATCACCACACGGAGACTGAAAGGTTGCTGGACAGGGAAAGTATTTTTGACTCTGCGAGGATACTGTGGCAACTCCAGCCATGGCCACACTCAAGACCGAAGCCCTGTCAAAGGCAATGGCTTGTTTATGTAGTCTTCAGAGTTTAAAGTTTGCTTGCAGGAGGTTTTGCAGAAATTTGATGGGTATGTGAATTTGTCGTGTACAATGAGCATTGATCAGGCGGGAACAGCTTCAGCTGAGCAAGATGCAAGTCCCGAGCCGACAGCTGAAGGGCCTTCAGGGCTCAAGGGTCCCGAGCTCTCAAAGGAGCAGGTCCTAGGTGCTGCCTTGGGCACCTTGAGCGGCACAGCTTCAGCGACACTGGGTTCTCTCGTGGTTAGCCAGGACCCGACAGGAAGTTGTTTTTGTGACATTCTCAAGTATACAAATACAGTAAATATAGATTAATAACTATATCTATTATATGTATATATTATAGATTTTTACGCATGTATATGTACAAAACTGCAAAATGCATATCATGAAGCTATGTACGCTGTATCACCCACGCATCGGACGGAATCACCGCGACGATGGCATGCCGGATGCTCTGATCCGAACATGCAATGAACCCCTATGCACTGTACAATCAGGCAGAAAGAATTGGCGTTCGCCACGACTCGATCGTGCGACCCGCTCTGTTGCAAACAGTCTGTGCTATGTAAAGAAGTGCAGAATCCTGCATCCAAGGAATCGCACCAACAATAGCGCTCTGAGGTGAAACCCGACCCATCGATTTGACGAAGGTGGACGAAAATTCTCCTGAGCATGCCTGTATGGTTTGATCTTTGATCAAACATTGAAAGGCCTGCCGTAGCATGCAAATGACATGGTCAAGGCAGAGTAGTCGCCTGTGACCCTGTAGCCTAAATGATGAAAAACTAAGGCCAACTCGCAAAACGCAACAGCGCTGTCCGGCTCACTCCTCCAAAGCAACCTGCGCGCAAAGGAACAAATGATCCTCCAGTCTTCAGCAGAATGTCGCCACCGTGCAGGTGGCGGATGTTGGGCAGGGATCTTGGCCTTCCAACAAAAAAAAGTCGGACTTCAGCGAGCTCCAGTTCCACTTGGGGAATGCCGTCTTGGCTGCTCCCAAAGACATGCTAGTGATCTGCACAACGTCGTTGTCTCCCTTGGATTGCACCTCGTGGGTAGAGAGGTGGCAGTGGAGGCGGACAAGCCATTCCTGGTGTAAAGTTGCAGCTGCTGTCATGGGCCCTACCATCCCCGGCACAACTGGCGCGATGCGCAAAGCACATGCTTTGGCTGTAGCATCGGCACGCCTGTTCAACCTAACGTGTCCGACAGTAGAGCCAAGTGCTGCAATGATTCTCTCATCCAACATGTGATCCGGAGTACCTTCACAAAGGTGGGCAGGAATCCAAGAAACAACCAGTGTTCTTGGGTGGTCGCAAGTTCTGTGTTGTATGACCAGCTTGATAGCGTGCCACCAATCTTGGCATTTCCAATGCGCACCACCACGTCCGCTTGCGATGAGAGTGCCGAAATTCTTAACAACCGCGCCATTGTCACAGTATACTTGCAGTGGGCCTGTAGTCAGCTGGAGTGCAGTCCATACCGCCCACAGTTCGGCGACTTAGCTTGACAGCCCCCAACGCTTGACGCGTCCGGTACTGATTTGTTGCCAGTCTTGCCGATCACTGTGAAAGTGGCTGTCGTGAGCCAGAAAGAATGAGGCCACACGACGGAGCCGTCAGTCCACACCTCTGTGAGTGGCCCATTGGCAACAAACGGGGCAGCCTCAGTTGGATCGGCGGCTTCACCCTGGAGCCTGAACCGAGAAAGTTTGTAAGGATGTTCAACTAAACCCAGCATGTGAAAGTTCACCCCGAGGTCATGGAGAATCGGTGCCCCGACCATGGCATTATAACTCGAACAATTATGCACTAGGTGATCAAGGGATTCTCGCTCTACTCCGCAAAATCGGCGCAGTGCAGAGTCTGACCATCCAGCTGCATGCAGCCTATCACGAGTGAGTGTGCAGCCTACGATCATGGATTCACAGTGGGATGTGGCCGGTGGCGGGATTGGTGTGCTGAATGTGGGTTTACCCAAGAAACTTGTAGAGGCATGGAAATCAAGCAAACCACGTGGTCTTATGAAGTCCTTCCTAGCACTGTGTCCAGCAAATTTGTATGCGCATTGTCGTGCGATCTGCTGCAATGAGAGACATCATGGGGCGTGGCTGTGCCTAGCCAGAGGGGCTCAGAATCACGAAGTCGAATGCCCAGACGAGGCGTAATCTTCAGCCCGAAAGTCTGACATGCCAACACAAACTTGCGAAGAAGCGAGTGTTTGTGGTCGTACCTGGTGCCCCACATGGCGCGGAGTCTACCCACGGCTGTGGGACAGTGTTGACAGTACCTGACCAGATCAATGATGCAGCAGTGGGCCTGTGCGAGTTGAGGGTCAGCCCTGTGGGGCCTACCGTGAAACAATTGACGAGCCATTTAGATCTAGCCATAGGTCTCCCTTGCCACAAAGCTTTAGCAACTGCCGTGTGCATCTTCTGCAAGGACTGTTTGGGGATCCGGGAAATGTGTGCGCCATATGTAATGGCGGGCAGAGCCTTGGCCCCAGTGAGAAAACATTTGACTCGCATTGGGAGAGGTAAAGCGCCTATGCACTCAACGGTATGGCAGAACTTTTGGTGGTGCTTCCGAAAATTGACAGTCATCTTTCTGCGAGGTGTAAATCTTCACGCCTAAGGCCTCGAAAGTGTGCGCAAGTGTCATTTCTGGTTGCTGGACTGCGTTGCGAGCTGCAGTGTTAGTGCCCCAAACCACGGATTTACCATCATTCAACTTTTGGCCATTCAAAGAATCACACATCTTGGTGATGCGGGCGCCACATGTATGCATCAACTACATGCACGCATTGAAATGTCAGGGAGGTGCTGCAACAGGTGCGCCCACACTTTGGTCTGCACGTTGACTGCTATTAGGGAAAGCGAGCGCCCCTGAGCGACTCCATTGGAGGCCGTAGTAGCTGTGGGACTCATCCACCCTTTGTAGCACATGTGTCTATGGAGGCCTTTGTAAATCTTGGAGAAAAGATTAACAAAACCCTTCGGAAGGCCGAACGCTAGGAACAGTGCGCAAGTGTGAGAGGGAATGATTCTGTCGAAGCATTTGGCCTTGTCAGGCTTTATACCAACTAGCTCTTGTTGCTGAACAGCGGCCTCGTCAATGTCGAGTCGCAATGCAGTGTGCAGCATGGGCATAGTGCGCCCGCGAATGCCACCGACAATGCAAGGCGGCATGGTCAGCTGCTGCCATGCTTGGAGTTGTTCATAGCGAGCTCCGGTGTAAGCCAATCGCAAAGCTGGCAGAATGGTTATCAAGCGCTTATTCATGGCGTCAGAGGGCCCGGGTTTGTGCAAGATATTTGCTTGGCGCAGGTCAACATTTTTGGAAGCTGGTCTCCAAATTGATTTTCGGCCCAATTGAAGAAATCCGCAACAGGGGCAAAAACACTACGTGGTAAGGCTTGGAGCTCACTGGTTCTCCATCCATCCAAGCCCGGTGCAGCATGTGTTTTTCTACGTTGGGCCACTTTGTAAAAGGCCTTGGCATTGATTGGGGAAACTCAGCTATGTACGCTGTATATATATATATATAATGTGTACCTATTTATGTTCACATGCTTATGTGCATATTTGACAATGGGTATGCAACGTACTAAATGCCGAGGCATATTTTTTGGTGGCTTTCGCGCTGACCGGGCCTGGTTTTTGTCCAGGATGAAGCTGGGGCGTCCGCAACGCTGAAGAAAACTGCCTTGCTTGAGGCCAAGGACACTGTACCAAGAGGCAAGACAGCTACTGTAGTTGTTGCTGTAGGATTTGTATGGCGCAGGATTCCAGCGGCACAGCTGATGTCAGGCTACAGGTGCAACGCGGAGAGTGCAACTATATGTTTCTTTTGTTTTTTCCTTCCATTCGTTCCACTTTGCTTAGATGTTCACATTTTTCTTCAACCCTGACGCTAGACATCCGATTCCCTTATATCCGAAGGCGGCTGCAAGCGCTGCTGAGGCAGCAAGGGCGTGTGGGTGGTCACGGCTCACCCACTAAAGCATGTGGCCGGCGCAATACTGAAAGTACAAAGAACGGCAATTAATGCTCGGTGGTAAAGCAGCACAGAAACACACACCACAGAAGGCAAGCTTTGTGAGGCAGGGATGAATGCGGAATCAACGGGTGGTGTTCAGGACTGCTTGAAAATGCCAGCTGCTGCATTGACACCTTGTGACTTGTTTTGCTTTGCCATTAGGATCTGCCGACAGTGAAAGCGAAGGCCAATATATACTGACATCATGTTTTTGGGTACTGAGCTTTGGAGGGGTGGATAAAGCAAACCAGCCCAGACAAAGGCAAAGCAGACAAAACCATTGTGTGAGTTTTCGGCACGAAACCTTCGAGACGATCGATCGATGCTGATGTGTTTTCACTTGTGATTGTGCGCTCAAGCAAGGGCGGGCACGCGCGCATAGCTAGAGCCAATTCGGATACGCCTTCGGAAAATCATGTGCGCTTGAGAGGTGCATTTCGGTTCCTGAACTTCGTGTGTCAAGGGATCATTTGTTGTTGGTGGCGCGGAGCCTTTTGTGCATTGGTTGGTTGCACATTGTACATTGAGCAACATTGTCATTGCTTGCGATTTGATCGTTGGTTGAGTTGATTGCATTGACATTGGTTGCTGTCGGTCGTACATTGTGCATTGATGGCCACAGGGACTGCAACGCAAGGCAGTGGGTCGGCTTCGACTGCTTATGTTGGAAAAGCTCACGAGAACGTTCCTGAGTTTTCTGGCAAGTCGAGCGACTACAAGGAGTACAGGAAGAGGTTGCTCCTGTACGAGAAGAAGATGAGTTTGGCCGGCAGGTCCTCAGAGACCAGTTTCAATGTGCTGGTGACATTGAAGGGTCGTGCATGGGATGCATGTGATGACATCTCCATGTCAGATCTTGAAGGGTCCACCGCCATGCAGAAGATTTTGGAACGGTTGGATAAGGTCTTCAAGTTCGACGCGATCACGGAGCTTCCTGGAGATTTTGAAGCATTTTTCTGCACGTTGCATAGAAAGAAGAACTCGACGTTGCAAGAATATGCTGGTGACTTTGAACGAGCATTGAGGAAATTGGAAGCCCACAATGTCACAATGCCAGATAAGGTTGTTGGCTGGTATTTCATGAGGAGAGCTGGACTGACCCAACAGCAGAGACAGTTAATCATGAGTGCATTGGGCACTGAGACATTGTCGCTGGACACGGTTCGCAAGGCTATGAACTTTGTCATTGGGCAGGACAGTACACCTGAAGGT